ATTAATACAATGGGTTTATTTGGGAATTTTAGGGACATTATTTATGTGATGTCGGCTACACAAATGGTGAAGGGTTTTTGGCACCTTATAGAGGACAAAGATACCATTTGAGTGAATGGAGACATGGTGCCCAACCTCGAACTCCACAAGAATACTTTAATATGAAACACTCTCAGGTAAGGAATTGCATTGAGAGATGTTTTCGCATATTAAAGGCAATATGGGCCATTTTGAGGGATAAATCCTTTTATTCAATTAAAACACAATGTAGAATCATTTCGGCTTGCTGCATACTCCATAATTTAATTAGGAGTGAGATGCCAATTGATCCAATGGAGGTTCAGGTTGGACAGATTGATAGTAGCCAAGATGATGGTGCTCTTGATGATGAGGAGGATGAAGGAGACCTTATCAGGCATTGTGAGACAAGTCCTGAATGGACTCAGTGGAGAGACCAACTTGCTTAAGAAATGTACACTACATGGAGGGCTACACAGCATTGAGACTGTCTTCATTCAATAATTAATTTCATTTATTTCTGTGTAGGACATGAGGAGAAATGAACATTTATTTCATTTGAAGTGTTTCCCCTTGTTTCTTTTATTTAGGACTGATGATTATGAATCATTTATTTCATTGTAATATATGTAATATGTTAACTGTTGTGTGATATGTTATATAATAAATTGCTGATTTGATTCATAATTGTTTGCTTCATGTGTTATTGTTGTTTTTGACTCTTATAATAAGAAAGTGAAGAAATGGAGCACAGAAGTAAGAAACCCAACAGGCCTGTCACTTACCAGAGCCGGCAGGTGCAGTTACCTGAGCAAGTGACCTTGGTAGAAGAAAGCCAAACACAGCAGCAGACACAATCCAATAAGAAGCAAAAACAAAAGAAAAGCCAGTGGACCAAGAAAGAGGACAAGTTGCTGGTCGAGTGCCTAGTTGAGCTAGCTCAAGACACAACTTGGAAAGGAGAGAATGGGTTCAAGGTTGGCTATCTGCTGTAATTGGAGAAGATGCTCCGTGAGAAGCTCCCAAACCCACACATCAGTGCCAACCCCCATATTGAGTCCAGAACAAAGCTTTTAAGAAGACAATATAATGAAATTGCTGACATGATCAAACATAGGAGTGGGTTTGGCTGGAATGAAGAGGAGAAATATGTTGAGTACAGCAAGGATGTCTTTCATGATTGGGTGAAGGTAAATGAAGTAAAGTTTAAATTTCAAACTTAAAAAAACTATTGAAACTGTTTTAACTAACTATTGCTACTGTTTTCAATTTTTGGAGCCATCCCTATGCTAAAGGGTTGAGGAAGAAGCCCTTCCCCCACTATGATGCATTGGTTGAGGCTTTCGGGGAGGATAGAGCAAATGGAGGTGGAGCTGAGACAACTGTTGATGCTGTGGAGGAGTTGGATGACCAAGATCATGATGATATGGAGGAAACACATAATGTTGATGCTGAAGGAGACAATCGAGAATAAGAAGTTGAAACAGATGCTGCAGATGGTGTGCATATGTAGGCCTCTACCTGTCAAGGACAAAACAATGCCCCAAAAACCAAACCTGTCACAAGCAAGAAGAGAACAAGATCTGACGAGGGGATAAGTGAACTGGTTGAGGAGATGGGCTTGTTCAGAACATCATATGATGTTGTTGGCCAACATATAGTTGGGATTGCAAGCTTCTTCAGTTCTGAAGAAAGGCTCAATCAAAGGAGGAATCAAATATTTGAGGACATCATCAACCTTGGAGCTTTCACTAATGATGAGGTTATGGTAGCTGGAGAGTATATATTGAAGGATGAGCACAAGGTTGATACATTCTTTGGGTTGGCTCAACAGTTGAAGAACTCATATGTCCAGAAATAACTCCTTCAGACCAATCCCTATCCTTGATTTGAATTGCTCTAGTTTTAACTTTTCGTATAGCCAAACTAATGCTTAATTTGCTAACATAATCCTGTATATTTTGGTACATCTTCTGCTAGGATTAGCTGGTAGTCTTTGCTTGGCATGCATAGCAAACATTTGGTATATTTTTGTACATGTTAGCAGCTGTTGTTTAAACATTAGGAAAAGGGTCATTTTTTTGTAAGTATGACTGGGTGAAACTTACATTTCATGATGATTTATATTATGCAAATGCTAATTTGATGTCTTCCATTAAATATTGCAGAATATTGAATGATAGTTACTTTGCTGAAGTGCATTCAGATATGCATTTTCAAGTTCACCCATACATGCATTTTCATCACAGGTGTTGATAAATTTTATTGATTAACACATTACAGGGGGCATATTATAGTAATGTGTCATTTCTAAAATATTTAATTACCCCTAACCAAACAAGGTATTCAAATATTCCCAGAAATCCTAACCAAACAAAAATGACCATTTACCCGAGAATGTAGTACCCGGGTAAGTTGAGGCGGAAATCTTATCACTGTTGGGGATCTGATATTACCCCCAACCAAACGGCCTTAAAGGTCTTCAGTGTACTTAAAAGACTGCCTCATAAATTAGTTGTATTATTTTCTGAAATATCAATTGTTGAGCAATGAATTCTTGGTTTTATGGAATCTTTAAAACAGATGAACTATCATATCTTATCTATTTTTTTTTATCCATGGAACTTTGAGATTTTCTGCATTGCTTGGTGAATCTAATTAATCTAACTAGAAACACAATATATTATCATGTCCTGATAACCCTGTCAAGTCAGTTTCTTTGCTGGACATATTTAGCTAGGCTGCTGCATTGAAAGGGTCTAAGTTGCACTAGCATTGTACTCAAAATTCTATATGGAAGTAAAATTTGATTGTCCTCTCTGAGTCCCTGGATAGGATAAAACAAGTGGGCTATGACAACTTGGCGATGTCAATCTAGAGGTTGTGACTTTGGTCGGGGGTGTTCCCATTTCCCAATTAAGTTTGTCAATCCAACATTGTCACAAAAACACAATTCTTGTTGTGTTATATTGCAGCCAATCATTTACTCTCGTTGGAATATATCAGCTTCTCATCTTTCAACTCAACTTAGCTGGACGCTCTTGTGTCACCATCAGAGTCCCAAAGTCAAGGTTTATAGAGTCTATAACTCTAACTTAATTTTATTAGAATGATAAGAAAATAAGGATTTGAGACCCATACTCCATGATGTAAGAGACTGACTTGAGAAGCACTCAAAAGGAAAAGGGTGTCACTTGGTCTGTGAGTGCTCGACTCTTCCTTTTGTATGGTTAATTAGGATTCAATCCCTAATAGTATCAAGTAAGAAAAAGTAAAAGGACTTGTTTGTCAATTCAGCCATGTACCATAAGAATTGTTGAAGAAACACTTTAATGGATCTACTATAAGTCTAAGAATACTAATGATCCACAATGGCATTATTTTTGGTCACCCAATGCAACAAAATTTGCTGCATGGTAGTCTACATAATGCAATTGTTTGTATTCTCTCCGCTATATAGATCCTAGACTCTAGAATTGCAAGGGTGAATTATTTAGAAATTCAGGTGAGGCTGTAAAGCTAAAGGGGGATTGAATCATTTAGTAGATATAAGTTGCATGTTCTGAGAAATGTTCAATTACTTAGGTTGAGGTCGTCTCTAGTCGACACAAGCATGTGTGAAGAAACAAAATTCTGACTTGTAAGACAATGGTTTTAAAACAAGGTGAAGATGATGGGTCCCTTCTCCCTTGTAAAGGGAATTTGGCAAGGAGAAAAGGTAGCCATCCCATGTGTTATTTCACTATTTGTTAGCAGTTGATGTCCAAATTATAAGGGACTCTTATTCAGAGATGTTCAAATTATAGGGGATTTGTAAACATGTAGAAGAAGCAGACAGGGCAAAGGACATATGTTTTCAGGTGTTAAATGCAAGTCAGAGTTTGGTTTGGGGGGGAAAAACTGCAGTGAAGAGCATGGTGATGAGAAGGGAACAGATGGGTCATTCACTTGAAATCCATGTTGTAATTTCTGAATCTGTGTCTTTCAAACCCAATGCGGCTGTCTCTTGTGTGTTCAATTCATGGGGTTTTCAATGGAGTCAAAATAAAATGGGCATTATTATTTGTTTTGTGGGCTTTAAATTCTTGGACCAATGCTCTCTCGATTAGCTCCTTTCGATAGTCAATAGGTGAGCTTTTTGAGTTTTTGTTGATTTCCCTTCAAAATTCTCTTCCTGAAAGCTACTATACACTCATCAGCCATGAAAGCCATCAGCTGCAATAACTCCAGTCATCGGATGCTTTGCCAAGAGACTCAAGTCTGCGTCAAAGGCATATGCAATTGCAATATTATTTTCTTCTATCACACACCGAAATACACCGTCCCATGTCCCATGAGCTTAAAACTTCTTGCCTGAGGTATTGAGTTCGAATCCTTGGATGGACAGGGTGCGATTATGGAAAAGGACAGAGTTACCTCCTATCGTGTTAGTCATTTGGCAAAAAAAAGCACACCGAAATCCACCACCAACCAAGAAACCTGCATGCATTTAAATTCAATGCAATCAAAATCCTCATCTCAACCTTGGCAACTTGATGAGCTAACTAGAATGTATATAATATATATATTAATATTAAAATTCCTTCTTTCAAGTTTTGTTATAAGTAAGGGACATTGGACTTTTGTTTCAGTGAAAGCAATGCTTTGACTTCCCAAATAAGAGGGGGGTGGTGCATTGCTGTCTTGTGGATGAGGACTTTGGTGACTTCACTGTCTGTCATAATAACTCATAAGCTAATTTTAGAAAATGATTTGGTTCTTTTGTTTTATTATCCACTTTAGATTAGCTATACATTGCCTAAATAAGGTGATGAATGGCTGGTTTGGATCACATTAATAGACAGTCTACAGAAACACTAACTATCTGTTTGGACAAAAAGAAAAATTGGGCAGAAATATTTTGCAGGCTTCCAAACATCTTACTACTGATTGAAGAGGGATTAGTGCATAATTTAGAAATCTATCATTTTTCACATCATCCAGGTGTCGTGGTGTAGTTGGTTATCACGTCAGTCTAACACACTGAAGGTCTTCGGTTCGAGTCCGGGCGACGCCATCAAGTTCATTTTCTTTTATTTCTGAGAAGTTCATGTTATGTTAATTGTATAGGCTTATGGGGTTTTCGATAAGATAGCACATTAAAACAGCTCATTAGGCCACATAAAACTCTTGAATTAAAATTCATACCTCTTAAAGTTTTGGGAATATGCTTTACAGAAAAGATCGAACTGTAATTTCCCATGAAGAGAGGTTTGAGGCTCTATCCATGTGCAAGGGCATCAGACTTTTTAAGCTTATAAATACTTAGATTTTTTTTTTTTGCCAACATAAATATAAATAAATACTTAGATTGATTATTCAGTAAGTTGGTCAATGCAAAAGATAATATTCCCTCAGTCTCATATTATCCGTCCCTTTTGAATCAAAATTTTCTAACGCTGACCTTTAATTATAAAAAAGTTATATAAAAATAAATTTTAAAAAATTATATTTTGATTAAGTTAAGTCTTAAACTTTTCAAAATATATTTTTTGAAAATTTGATTGTATATATATTTTTTGTAAATTAGAAGTCAAATGTTTGATTGGTTTGATCCAAAAGAGACAGATAATATGTGACGGGGGGAATAATATTTAAGGAAATAGTAATGTGTAGCCCATATTGGAGTTTGGCTAAAATTCTCCCAAAGAAAAAAAAGTGGTGGTGGGTATGGTGGAAACTGGGTTCCATCGTCTCTCATGATCATGGGTCCTACTCATCTATGATAGAAGTTTATGGGCAACTTGCAAATCTCAAACATTGAATCAGTGGGCCTTTACTTTGTTCCAAAAACTTTGATGCTTTTATTTGTAATTTGTAATTCTAAAGCATAATGCAATGTAGTAATGTAATGTAATGTACCTTCCAAGAGAGATTGGTAGGGGAAAATTATTGTTCCCTAATTTAAGATTTCATCTTGTGGCCCAAAAAAAAATTATAAGATTTCATCAATTCCATTTTGATCGGTAAAGAACTTATCTCAAACAGGAAGAATCAAGATACTATCGAGGATTCCTCAAGTATCCGAACATTTAATTCACCAATGTTAATACATGTTTGAAGAAATTTGTTCGAATTATTGGACACCAAAGTATTGAAAAGAGAAATCATGTGACTAGGAAAGTACAAATTAAACTTAGCTAGTAATAAAAATGGATGTGTTGTCTCTAAACAGATTTGGTACTAGAAATCATGTAGATGAAAACAGATTCATGTATCACCTTTTCATTGTTGATATTTAGGCGATGTCAAAATCATGAAAAATTTGTGGATTGAACTTTTTGTATAATTTGGTACTAGAAATAAAATCTTGAAACCCAATCAAGAAAAGGAGACAGAACAATGATGGGAAAATGTTGAAAAGAAAAAACTGTATCATTTTAACTTTGATTAACTTAAATATTATATGGTACAATTACAAACACTGTATGCAAAAGAAAAAAAAAAGCCTCATCTTCCTCGGTTTACAAAATGCCCAAAGAAATCAAAATTTGGGCCTTGGGAGAGGGCTCTGTCTGCATGTGCTATCTGCTTTGTTTGTTTTTCCTTTTTTTTGGTATGTGTATTTTACAGTATTTTTATTTTTATTTTTTACACAATATATATAAGAAGAAAAAAAAAACAAAAGAACCAAGGTAATTAATTATCCTAGCTGAGGTGAAACACTTAGAACTGTGAAATGCATCTTCTATGGCAAGCAATGGTTCTCCTTTTTTGTTGCTTAGTTTCTTGTTTCCAGACTTTGCCAATGTCTTGGGCAATCCTCATGGCATCTGAGGAAGCACCAGAGAGCCCTCTCCTTGTGAACCCAACTGCATAAAGTCCAGCATTTCCCTTCCATGCATGAGGGAAAGGAGCCTTTGGGAATCCATTTTTGGAGAAGAATTCACTTTCCTGCTCATCATATATATAACCAAATCAAGATTAGTTCATTTGTTCCATTTTTTTTTTAAAATCTGTAGAATTTCCATTTTTTTTTTTAAAAAAAGAAAATGTTAAATATTTGTGGTTTTATTTAAAGAAAAAAAAAGACAAAACAGAGGAGCAATTTAGAACATTTTGTCACCTGAAGCCAGGAGGGAACATTGCTGCGGTATCCAGTAGCAAGAACAACAGAATCGATATCAAGAACTTGGCCATTAAGAAGCTCAACTTGGGCACGTGAGAAACGCTTGATTCCAGGAACAACATTAATGCCACCTGATCTGATCTTGTCCAATGCACCAATGTCCAACACAGGGGTTTTGCCTTGCTTGTTTTTGAGTTGCAAAGGACCCATTAATGGCCTTTTCAGCCCGTATTTCTCAATGTTTCCGAGAACCAACCAGGCTAGAACCAACAGGAGTTTGTCCACAAGCCAAAGGGGTAGCCATTTCAACATCAACACTGCTAATTCAAAGGTGGATCTCCCAAACACTTCTCTTGGCAACACATGAACCTGTTTTGTTTTGTGTTGGAAGGAAAACAAATCAGTACTATAGTAACACTTAATAGAATAGAATAGAATTCAATTGATTTTCTTTATCAACTACTTACCGAGCTACGAACCACCATTGAAGGGGAAGCATTGTGGTTGCAAAGATCAAGAGAAACTTCCATGCCAGAGTTGCCACAGCCGACAACAAGAACATTCTGTCCCTTGAAGTTTTCTCCGGACTTGTAGTCACAAGCATGGATAACTTGACCACCAAAGTCGGCCAATCCATCAATATCAGGAACCACACGCTCCGCATTTTCACCGGTGGCCACCACCAGCCACCGGCAAATGTACTCAAACTCAGTACTCATGTTTGAGTTTGAGTTTGACACGACGGTGGTCTTCACCCTCCAGAACCCACTGGTCTCGTCGTATCTAGCAGACTGAACACATTCATTGAACTTTGGGTTGATATCAAAATGCTTAGCATAGGACTCCAGGTATTCGATGAATTGTCTCTTGGTTGGGTACTCGGGGAATTCCTCAGGGAAAGGGAGTTTTGGGAGTTGGCAGAATTGCTTGGGGAGATGAAGCTTGAGCCTGTCGTAGGTTCGCTTTTGCCACAAGGAAGCAATGCATTCGGCTCTTTCAAGAACCACAAACGGAACTCCTTGTTCCCTAAGGCACGCAGCTGTGGCTAGCCCTGAAGGTCCTGCTCCAACAATCACTGGGCCATTCACCAACGTCCATTTCCGTTGAAACAAATCTTGTTCTTGATCAACAAGGCGAAACAAGTTCTCCATTATTGATTTCCGATAACGGTTTTTTTAATAAGTGTTTTTTTTGGGGTTTAGAGTTTGAAAACAGAGCACCAAAAGAATTCAAGCTTCTTTAATTTGTTGAGAAATAGAGCAGAGTTGTTTTGTTTGGATTGGATTGGAATGGATTGGAGGGAGAAGGGGTAGAAGGGTGCTTAAATAGGGGAGCTGCCTTTGAAAGGACCATGTGATAGCATTCAAGAATTAATGCGCTTTCAAAGGGGGCCACTTTCAAATCATAAGCCAATGCCTAACTTCTCTTATTTTATTCAATTTTTTAATACATCTTACTCAAGGATTAGCATTTTTTTGGGAATTATTTTATTCTTCCTTTTACAATTTTTTTATTTATCATATTCATAAGATGTGAATAAATAAATTGCTTTTTTATTTAAATTTAGTACTACTCATTGTTTTAAAAATCGGACCGGATCGGTCGGTCGGATCGGTTCAATCAGAAATCAAAGGCAAGTCCGGTCCTTAGAGATATGAAAACCGCGGTCAGTCAAACTTGGTCAACAACCGGATAAAAACAGTCAGACCGGCGGTTGAACCGAAATCTGACCGGATCGAACTGGTATGATAGTTGAAAAAATTTGTAAAAAACTTTTGAAGGTGGTGAATTTTGAACCCTCAACCTTTTGGAAACATGCTTACGCCACCGCACCAAGTTCTATTATGTGTTATATATATACCTCATATAATATTTAAAAGGTAAAATATCAACAGTCTTTATAAAATTACCTTATCAACCAGGACCGGCGGTTGAACCGGTCGAATCGGTCAAACCGCCAATCGGGACCTTCACCGGTTCTTCCGCCGATCCGATTTCAAAAACCTTGGTACTATTACTACTATTTTTGTTTTTCTTCTTTTTTGGGAAATATAATTATTGTAAGAAGTAGCTAGCTTGGGTACGTATAATATATATATATATATATATATATATAATAAATAGTAATAATAATAATTGCAAATATTGAGAGACGCCTAGGAGAATTCACTTGGGTTACCAATGAAAACATAGAGTTTCAATGATTTTGATGTCCAACATTGAATGTGCATGTCATAGCAAATTAAGCTTGAGATTCCATATTATTATTGTATACATCAATTATTGTATGTTCCACCAACTAGTAAGTGAAATTTTTGATAGGATTGTTATTGTTGTTATTATTATACATTAATTAATAACAAAAAGAGAAAAGGGTATTATATTATATATAATTTGAATTCACAAATCACAAATCATCAATTAGCACAACTGTTGATCATCATGGCAAATTTGTGCATGAAAAGAAAAATGATTGGGATGATTGTAATATTCTTAATTAATACTATTAATCAAGTAGTTCTTTTCTTTTAATTATATGAAGGAATTAAGGGTGTCTTATGTTGTATAACACACATGTTATGAGATAAATTAATCAAAAGGCAGCTAAGAAAGAAGGAAGAGAGGGATTAGAAGGAGAATTAGGGAGCAATGAAAGTGACACAACATCCTCATCTGATTCTATGGACCCACAAAAGGAGTTTCAATTCTCTTCTTCCAATTTCTCTAACTCCAAATTAGAGCTTAAAAAAAGGAAAAATCAGTGGAAATGGAATTAGCTAGGCCAAGTGGCAAAGAGAGAAGGGTGAGTAGGATGCAGACGATGTTCCCACGTGGAGAGGGTGAGCCAAGTTGCAAAGTAGGGCAAGGAGTAACAACACAAAAATCACAATCGATATATGGTTGGGTAATATTGTGGGGGCAGATTTCTAAATAGGTCTTGGGATTGC